TGCAGGCCAGTTAGTTCTACGTCAGCCTGAACACCTAAATTCGGCCAATCATATATCAAGGATCATCTGCCAATCAAATTTTTTCAGTCATAGCATCTTGATTCATATGTTGCAGCTAATATACGCAAAGGTTGAAATAAGAATCATTTACTTTCCCATTGAGTTCCATCCCAGTGTTCAAGGGAATGGACATCAGTGTCTTCAGCAGGCGTAGAGCTAACAGAACTGGCGGCGTTGTGAGGCAAGGGCTCAAACATGTACGGCTGGAAGCCTTCTACACCAAACCAAGCTTCTGCCGCCCTGGCGTCCTCTTCCACAACATCTTTGTCCCCGCTTTCCTCCTCTAAATAAAAAATGGATGAAGGAGGAGACTAATCCACAACCTCCGACACTCAACTCTCCTCCTCTTGCATGTTTCAGCTGTCCATAGCGTTCCTTGACAGCGTTGTTTCTAAGTCACCGATTTAGTGCTACTTGGTCCCAATAGAATTTCCCATTGGGAACTAGGGGTGTAAATAATAATCGTTTTGTATCAATGCATCGATCCAAAAGCCGACGATCCGATGCATCGACACGTCCGCAAGATAATCGATTAATGTTTTTTTTTTTCCTCCGGTCTATTTTTATCCATTGGCTCCAGCGTAATTCTTCCTCCCGTGCTGCGGTGCCGCTAAACCTATTTTGCCCTCCTACCGCGCCTCCTGGTTATACTCTTACAGCAGTGTGTTGCAGCAAGCTTCACACAGACATTTTTAAATTATGCTCAGTATTGAAGCGTGGTCTGAGCTACCAAACTGTGGGTCTAGATACGGCCGAGGCGGTGAGGAAGTGGGGGCGAGTTTAGTCCGACGACGGAGGGACATGAGGGCCAAAAAGAGCGGAGATTCAGCTGGGAAAAGGGTCCCAGCGTTCTCGCGCACCTCGCTCTTCTAGCGGGTCAAACTTCACGAGTTGTTTTCCGCAATTTCGGTCATGAAAACAAAAGAAGCTGGCCTCCTGTCTGCGGCACTGTTTGCGGTCAGCTACAATCTGGGAGAGGAGCAGCGGAGCGTCTCTCAAGGGGGCGGTGACGTCAACACTCTGAAGCCTTCTTCTTCTTCTTTTTTTTAATGGCGGTTGGCAAACAACTTATAGGTGCATTACCGCCACCTTCCAGAATGGAGTATGGACCAGACAAACTATTATATTCTCCCTAAAATACCCGTTCTTCTTAGAAAATTTAAAATACTACCAAAAACTAGATCCCCAGATGACCTTTGAAACAATTCCCTTATATGTAGTTTATTTTTATTCCTGTCTAACTCTCTACACAACATCTCTCTTTCCTGAGTATATTTATTACATTCTAAAAAAATATGTTGGACAGTTTCTCTGGAGCCGAGGTATTGCATTGAACTCATTACACTGATATTGTGCAGTATTTTTGCAGTATTTTTTGATGCAACTTTTCTACTTCTGTTATTTGCTGTTGTTTCTAAAGAAAATGCATAATGATATTACAGCTTTCATTGATTTATTTCAAACTTGAAACTTTGTTTAGCCTGTAAGGTGTAAAAATAATAAAAAAACTAAATAAAAAAAAAAAAACGATTAATCGAATCGTGGTGTATTCTTGAGTATCGAAAATAATCGAATCGTTGGGTCAGGAAATCGATACTGAATCGAATCGCCATGATGGATGTGATTTACACCCCTATTGGGAACCTACTAGCACTAAGTTGCTAACTGGTTAGCAAGATGCTTCCAACAAACCGGCCACAACCAAACATGCAAACCCTTTGCCACAACAATCCCGCCCCCTTGAGAAACGACCAATCACATTCACTTTATTCTCTCGTGTAAAGTTGGGCACCACTCAGAAGAATTCAGAACTGCAACCATTGAACAGATTGTCTTATTTACCTACTCAAATTAAGGCTAAACAATCTCATTTTAAGAAATTTTCACTAATATTTAGATCATTTTCGCAGTGCATATTTTCCTAGCTTTGATTTCAATCTTGGAGCTGATCTCAGCTTAAATAAGGAAATACAAGCATTGAAAAATGCTGTAAAACAGTCATGTGTTACAAAAAACAATGAAAATAGAATAAATGTAAGCAGAAAATTTCACAAAATTGAAATAATCCATAGAAAGGAGATTCTGGAATGTCAGGCATACGCTGGCTAGATCAGTAAGGTGTGACAGGGGCCTTACTCCATGATTATGTAATAGAAAAAGATTTAAGTTGTTATCAAAGTGGAAATGAAAGGACGTGTCTTGTCCTGGCAGAGGGCCTCATTCAGTAGCTGTAAAGTTGGGTCTGGGCTGCAGGGGCCGATCATCAGCTCCCTCCTTTGAGTTGGTGCTCGGAGGCTGTTGAGAGCTCTCCATCCTGAGGTCACTTGGCTTCGTCTGATTTGGGTTTTTTTTTGTCTTTCAGTCCAGCTGCTCAGAGTCGTGCCTGCAGAAGTATCTAAAGATGACGCAGAGGATCTCCATGCGTTTCCAGGAGTACCACATCCAGCAGAACGAAGCTCTGGCTGCCAAGGCAGGACTTCTGGGCCAGCCTCGCTGAGCGGCTCTGAAGTAAGCGTGGTCCAGATCCCGGTCCTGGTCCAGATCCCGGTCCTGGTCCAGATCCCGGTCCAGCACACCCTCGGTCATCACAGTAAAAACTGAAAGGAATGATGTTTGGTGTAAAATGACGCCAAGGCTTGGACATAAAGGCTCCCTGTTGGTATGTGGAGTCCAGCCTGATCTGGTTCTGTCTGGAGCAGAATTCGGGTGAGGTTTCCCTTCTTGTCTACTGAAATAGATCTTGTTCCCTTTCATGGGGGTTTTATGTATTTCTGTCTGAAAGAATAAAACAAAGATTTAACATATTTTTTGGTCGTTTCTGATGTTTCTACCTTCACTCCCTTCCTATCTTTATATCCTAACTTCTTAATGTCCTTAGCTGATTGCTCCTTCCTGTGTTTCCAAAAAGGCCAAAGTAAATAACCCAGTCCTTCTTTTCACTGTAGACAAGCCATGATCTGCTTATCTGTTCTCCACTTTTCATTTGGATGAAATAATAGCTGCATGAATCATGACAGCAGACAAGATAGAGGAGAGCAGGAGGCGGGGTTACCAATCTACTTGCTCTGGGGAGCAGAGTTCACTGCATTTAGATGTCGCCAAAGTCTCCAGTAGCAGAAAAACATAGCTAGATTTGGCGCCACACTTAATATTATAAGCGTTATGATGGCATTTTAGCCAAAGGATTTTGTTCAAAAACAATTTACAGTTTTTTTGGGGCCCCCATGAACTCGGGGGCCCTAGGCAGCTGCCTATTATTTCCTAATTGGTAAATCCCCCTCCCGTGGATGCAGGTTTTAATTTTCCAGCAGGACTTGGTGCTGACCCGCTGTGGGAAAGGTACCAGAACCTGCTTTTTAACCTTGTGGTTTCCCCTGCAGGCTGCTGTCATTAAGAGGCACACCGGAATGCAAACCGCAGCTGAGCTGAAGTCAAAACATGCTGGACTCCTCAGTGGAACCATAGGCTGATTGTTCAGGACATTTATTTATTTCCTGGTTTTTCTCAGTTTTGTGTGAAACTATTTTTCTATTAGCTGTAAACTAGAAACGATGCTCACAATAACAGTGACTCTGTGTCACTTTGTCCATTAGTTATAACAGGATCATCATCATCCACACTGGCCCCACGTGCTGCCTCTCGCTATTACGTCCTCGTATGACGTATAACTCCGCTGTTCGGTCCACGGCGGCTTCCCCGCCACCAATAAGGGTCAGACCGACGTGTTTCTATGGATGATCCTCCTGAACAGACCCAAACCACCAACCATAGACACTAAAGACTCGATGGTCGCGGTCTACAAGTGTTTCTCTTCATGTTTGCGGTCATTAATCAACGGGTCACCGGGGTGACGTCAGGATCGGCGGCCTTTTAATGCCTTCTTATTCTTGTCTTAGTTGTCTTTTTTAAACGAAACCCAGCAAATCCTTAAAAAGTGTAGTAACTAATGTCTGACAGAAGTCATTGATCGCCGATGATAGCAGATGAAGTATAGTGCGCACATCTCCAGCACGTAGATGGGATGGGCTTTCTACAATGTTGGTACAAACAAGGAAGACTGCGCAGCCAATCACAGCCCTCCGCTGCTGGAACCAAAAGTATTCACCCAATCGCCTCTTTTCTATTCCGCATTTTTTTTGCTTTTCCATCTAACCTCGCGTGTGAATGGACAGTCGTCTGGCTGTTGTCGTCATTTCCCTTGTGGCGCCGTGTTCGTATCGACCAATCGAGGCGTCGTATTCAGTACAGCCAATGAAAATGGTGGAAAGATTCACCCAACGAGATATGGCGTTGGGGACTGCCGCTGTTGCCTCGACCAATCATGTGTCGGGAAACACAGCTCGGAGCTCAACAGCTTGTTGTCCGTGTATCGCTTTTGCAGCCCGTGAAAGAGAGGAAGCAACGGCGAATGTGAATGTAAGTAACGATCCTTTATGACTTCCAGCTGAATAACGGTTTATTTTAGACGCAACATGAATTCAGAGGAGACCCTTGGAGGGGCAGTTTGTGGCAGGAGAGGGGCGGGCTGCCTGTTAGAGGACGGGGCTGGCTGGGAACTGAATGGCAGTGAAGCAATGTGAAGCTCCTGCGCCTTTGTGGGAGAGCCGTTTATTAAATAAATAACTTCCCAACAGTTTGCGCTCAGATCGCTGACACGGATGATCTGTTCACCGGCATAAAACTCGGTTATTCATCTAAAAACAAACGCGTTCCGGGGCGCTTTGGTGTCGGGCTGCTCCGCTTCCGATCCAGTTTAAATCGCCCTGATGAAAACTGGCTCGTTGAATCGCTTGATAGCCAGCTAGCTAAAATGTCGCTCAGCGGCGAAGGACGGGGCGAAACCCGCCAGACTCCTTCCCCCTGCCGCTAGGACTTCAGTGAGGGTGAGGGTCGGCTCCCTGACAGGACTTCCTCGGCTAGCGGCGGGTTTTTATATCGACGGACGCGGTGAAGACAGCCCAGCTAACTGACATGGCGAGCTGTGATGGCGACGTGAGTCAGAGGCGAAGCGGGAAGTAAGAAGGCTCCTCCATGGCCGCGCGGCTGGCACCCTGAGCCTCACCGACCCTTCCGCTCATCCCGGCGGCCCAGTCCGGCCGCTGCTCCGCATTAGGTGAAAGTCAACGTTAGGAGATAAGTTTAGGGAAGTGATCCGGTGAGGTGGGGGCGGGGGCAGCTTGGAGGAAGCTAAGAATGCCTGAGCTAACAGTGCGTGGCTAGTTGGTTAGCTTCTAATGCTCTTTGGAGACAGGCTGTCTTCCATGGCAGAGTCAGCTTTAATAATACTGATGTTTTGTCTTCCAGTGACCTGAAGTCTTTCGCGCTGGAAGCCCTGGTCTAGCCGGAGAGATGAAGGTGAGTCCTCCTCCCCTCCCAGCGCCATGAACCTCGGTCAGGCTCCATGTTCCCGGTGGATCCAGCTGGAACCAGCTGCTCTGCTCACCGGTGTTTCCCACAGTAAACACCAACACCTGGCCTGTCTGCTGCGCTGATGGGAGCTTTTGGTCTTTATCACTACATTTTCTGGAACTTTAAATGGAAAAAGTTTTGATTTATTTACATCTTTATGCACAAGCCTACCCTTCAGCTTGAAAACAAACAAAACAATAATATAGGTGTGATGGTAACTAAAGGAAACGTTTTAAAAGTAGTCTGATCCTCCAAAGAGAAAATATCCCTTTGAGTCAGGTTTAACTAAACATGGAGATGATCCACTGATGGGAACCATGCAGCAAACCCCTCTAATCAGCGCTTATGATGACCCCAGTCAGCCCCAGCAGATGGCCTGCTCCTGCTGGAGGTTTCTTCCTGCTAAAGGGGAGTTTTTTCTCTCCACTGTCGCTACAAGCATGCTTGGTGTGAGGGATTGCTGAAGAGTTAATGAGTCGACGCGATCAGCTGGTTCCTTATGGGCTGGTTATCTCGCAGCAGTATGACGCAGATATTTTTTGAATTATGTTGAGTTTTGAAGCGTGGTCTGCGCTGTTATTCTACGTCAAAACGCAAGAGGGAGAATCCCCAACTAGCTGTAGGTTTAGATTCGGCTGAGGTGGTGAGGAAGTGGGAAAAAAGCAAGGAGCGAGTTTGTGTGACACTGGAGGGACATGAGGGCCAAAAAGTGCGCGGATCCAGGTCAAAAAAGGGTCCCAGCGTTGTCACGCACCTCGCTCTTCTAGCTGGTCCATCTTCACCAGTTGTTTTCCACAACAGCGGTCATACAAACAAAACAAGCCGGTAAAGAACCAAACAGGAAATACGCATAGTGTAGAGCGGTAGTAGATTCGACCAATCGGAGGCCTCCTTTCAACCTACAATTTTGGAGAGGTGCAACAGAGTGTCTGCGGAGGGGGCGGGGCATATCTGCGTTAACTGCGACACACGCAGACGACCTGGTTTCTGAGCATAAAGCAGCCTTTAGATAGAAAACTGAACCAATCTGACTGGATGATCTGGTGAACTGTACAGTGCTTTGAGATGACTTGTGTTGAGAATTGGCTCTACATAAATATACTGAATTGAATGATGCTCAGAGGTCTCTGTAAGGTGCTGAGTAAAGTTTTGATCACACAGGCAAATGTACTAATCTAAAAGCATAAGTCTTTTCTCCAGCTAAAGGGAAGAGGCTCCTCCGGTGTTCTGCTCAGTGAATCTCATTCTAACTAGGCCTGGATTCACTGATGCTCTTTAGTCTGATTTAGTTACAGTTGTTCTTCTTCCCACATTCAGCTGAAATTTGGTCACTTTTCTGAAGCTCACTGTATTATGAAATTTAGGCAGGATCGGCTGAGGTGGAAAAACGTCCTAACATGTGAAGTTTGCTGAAGCGTCTTTATTTCCTGCCCATATTTTAGTCCTCTGATAGTCGGATCCTGGATGTTTACTCTTCCCCTCTCTCTAGTTGGAGCCGCTGCAGAGAACTGACTTGTTGGTGGCAGAAAGGGAAGTCCAAACTCTGCGTTAGCGTTAAACACGCTATGCTGATCTACTGCACTGTTTTTTTGCTGTCTCCCAGTACAACCTTTGCTGTCTAGTACTGAGCTTCGGTCTGGTAAATAGATTTTTTTGTTGTTGGATTAAAAAAGCTGATTAAACTCATGTGGTAATTGTTTACATCCTCTTATGCAGAAAAAAACCTGTCATATTAACAAACGGTAAACTCATTCTGCTGATTAGCCATTCGGTATGATTTTAGATGTCCTGATTTGTAAATTTTTTTTTCTTCAAATGCATTCTTTCAATTCAATTCAGCAATACCTCACATTAAGCATGCTTGTAGTGGAGAGGAAAAACTCCCTTTGAACAAGAAGAAACCTCCAGCAGAACCAGGCTCAGTGTGAGTGGCCATCTGCTGAGGCCAACTGGGGTTCAAGGAGACAGAAGCAGACATAGAAAAAGAAGCATAGATACAAAAGGCAACTGTCAACCAGCTCCACAGGCCAGGAAACACAGCCAGGCAGACGAGCTCCGAGCCAGCTCCCATGTCAGAGGATGAAGAGAGCACATCCAGTTAGTCACAGTCAGAGAAACAGGACTACACTGAAAAACAGGCCAAGCTCCAACATCTAGAAACAAAGGTGTTGATGGCAGCAGCACAGCATATATTTCTCTCCAGGATGGAGTCACAGCCAAACAGGAACAGACCAGATGAAGCTACTATGAGAAAAAGCAGAGAGAGCAGAATGTTAGAGATTGAACTAATAGATTCTGCAGAGTGGGAGAATAGAGAGAATGAATTCTTTAAATTATTTATTGGTTCTACACTTTATTTTGGAGATCTGGTGAATCTGGAGCTCCTTTTACTGCACATTTTTTCAACCTACAATATATTGCAAATCATCACAGTATCTATCGTTGTATGGCTTATTCATACATGGTAAGACTGATGCCAGTGCAATAATAGTCACTGAAAATGATGGTTACATAACGACACAAATACAGACTAGAAAGAGGAAAATATACCTAATCACACCTGATATGTCATCCAGATATTTACTAATTGTTGGAAACCGGTCTAACGTTGTTTAGCTCTTCTTTTCACTGCCTGTGTCTGGTTCATGTTTCAGACAGCCGTCAGCGCAGGGGAAGCTGAGCAGAGAGTCACTGAAACGCTTCTCAATAAATACTATAATGTTCAAAGCAAAGTTTATACAATATGAAACTGTTTGATGGTTTCCCCTTCAATCTGAATAGAATCAACAGTTTTTTTTACGTTTTACTCCAAATGCTAAACAAAACGCTGCCGATTAGTTCATGAAACTAGGATGGAAAACTGTGACATTGCTTATTTCCTTCACTTCTTTCTTACACAACATCCAACCGGCTGGATGAGTGGCGGCTATGCAGAGAGGGAACGAGAGACTCATGGATAAAATGTTTTTCCAAATACTCCAGCTATGCGCTTCTCTGTGATCCGTCTGTAAACCACGGTGAAAAATGTCATTCTAAATCATTTTAAAACAATGCTCTGGACTTTGTTTCCAAGTTTGAAGACGTTTATATTCCCATCCAGGAAGTTTTTTCAATTCAAAATGTCAGAAATAGCATTAAGAGGCGAAACGTCTTCAAACTTGGAAGCAAAGTCCAGTGGATTTTTTTTTTACTTTTTGGAATAACTATGACCTGGATGACTGAGAATCCTCACCAGCCACGGGGAAATTACTCAGCAGCAGCTGTTGAGGTGAAACTGGTTAAAATAAAACAAATCTCTACAAACTTTTAAGTGATTTTTTGTTTGTTTTTTCAGATTTAAAGTGAGATTTCTGATGTAATAATAGTTTTTCCCCTTTGATAAAGGAGCAACTGATGCAAAATGAAGTAAGCTCTGCCATCCAATACATCGTCTGATGTTTCAGGGGCGTTGTTGGACGGCTGCACCGTATAGTTGCAATAATATTGCTATTAATAATAATAATAATAATATTGTAGGGAGAATAATCATGGTTTAGCCACATTTTCGGACGCATCTTTAGACGATTTGTTTCTTTTTCCATCACGATGTCGCGCTGCTTTAGTGAGCTTCACAAGCCTGTTGGATGTTTAAATGCTCAGTGAGCATCAAAGGTGGTGAACATCCAAGCAAAAGGCCAAATGCATTAGCAGAATCTGCATGCATGGTGCATGAACATGGGATATATTACTGAACGTTTCTTCAATGCAGTGTTTGCAGAACATGATGCTATCCAAAGCAATATTTGAATTTATTTAGTTTAGTTTGTGCCAAAAGAAAAGTTTTAGATATCGGATGGAGAACAAAACCAGCCGGATCGGTTCTGGATTAATACGTTTCATCTGATCTCATCATGGATGTTGATAAAACATGAGTGAACTAAGCACATGCCTGCTTCATGTGTTCCTGCTAACTAGTTTGTGTGTTTCAGGCAGCAGACGAGCCTGCCTACCTGACAGTGGGGACAGATGTCAGTGCCAAGTACAGAGGAGCCTTCTGTGAAGCCAAAATCAAGACGGTCAAACGCATGGTCAAGGTAAAGGTAAGAGCTGGAGCTCCTCACAGGAGGAACCACCTTCTGGTCTCAGAGGAGGTGGTCGGAGTCAGGATCCAGGACTTCTACTTCTTTCTCCTTTTTGTTCTGAAACATTTTCTCCATTAATATTCAGAAAAATCAAACTGTTCTGTCTCTCTTTTATCTATTTCACTGCATGATCCGTACCGTAAGCATGACCTGTATCATTGGACCCTTTGCACATGTGCAAGCAGATATTCATATTCATTGTTGCAGAGAACATTGTAATTTTATTGTTATTTTTTTCTGTTAATCTCTGACATCACAATGGGACATGCTCAGAGCAGTTCTACTAAATATGATTAAATCATGTTTATCTGCATTCTAGATGTTTGTTTCTCTAGATTACGCACTGTATACCAGAATGTTAACATAAAAGGAAAAAAATAAAACTCAAAAAGACTAGATTTATGTTTAAATCCAAAGCCGAAAAAGTTAGCTCCTGGAATCACTTGCTGTAAATAAAATTGTAATTTCGAACTTTGAACCTGTGTAGTAAAATAGTCTTAAGCTACGGATTTATTTTTAATATACCTTTAGAACACAAATAATAATAGCATGCAATACAGCTTTAATATATATATATATATATTAGACCTGTTTTAAGGTTTACGTATCGACAATGGATTTATATCGCTCACTAGAACCATCTCAGGTGATGACATCATCACTACTCATGCGTTCCATTGGGAAAAAAGTCACCTGTCAAATTGATGGCCAGTGGGAGTTCTAGTAAGATCAGAATCCTGGGAGTCCCAGTGTTACCACAGTGTAGTTTATTCTCTTACTATTTTTAGGAGAGAATAGGGTCTTTTTGTTCTTCTTTACAAAGTAAAATCGAGGGCGACTCAGATCAGCTTCCATTACGGATCAGATAGAGACAATCTGCAGACTCACTTTAATCAGATCGCTCATGTTCTTTCTTCTTTTAAGCCCCCGTCACACCTTGACGATTTAGACTAGTGTATGCCTTACGTGTGGTAAAAATACTGGCATTCGGTGCAGAAGTTATGGGTGCGTTTTGTATAATTTATGAGATTGCTGAAGCACGCTGGCATACGGTGGGAAATTCTGAGCTCAACATTTCCCGCCATATGCCAGCGTCTGCCATCCGTGGGCCATCAGTTCCAAGTCAGTTACCTGATGGTTGACATCCCTTCAGTGTCGTTTCCTCATCAGTCGTGAAGTCTTCTGCATAACTTATCCAGAACTTCTCTCCAACGTATATCAACGTATCTGACGTGTTCCAGACGAGTGCTGAGCGTGTTTCTAACTTCCAGCTACTGTATAATGGCGTATTGGCAGCGTTTTGGTATAAAGGGGGTTCACAGGAGGAAACCGTCAGTTCTCCTCCAGACTTCATCCCCATCATAGGGTGAGCCAGAAGGTGAGGGTGATGGATCCTCCCTGCGTTCACGCCCACCACCAACACACTTCCTAGCAGACATGACGCTCAGTCTGCTGCCACAGCAAATCTTCTTTCTTTTTTTATTTGTATCTATTCTGGGGTTCTTTGGGCCCACGGTAAACAGCAGCTAGGTTAATACCGCGATCAAACACATCTTTTTCTGCAGGCCGGGCGCATCGCTGCCCCCCCAGGACACTGGCTTGTGCATAATTTCATGGGCATTACGCTGTCATGCATTATGCAGAAGTTAGGCTGTCGTTGGACATCAGTTCTGGACTCGTTATGAATCCTCTATGTATACCCCCAATATCGAAATAATACGTAGAAAGTTCAGCGTGTGGCAGCGTTTTAGAAGTTTCTGGGACGTCAGGCAGACGCTGGATAAATCAGCTTCAGCTTTACTGAATAATGTGGTGGAAGTCATTTTCCCACAAAGGATTCTCGTTACTGAGCAGCATTTAGCCATTTTATCCAGTTCTCATTCTCTCTTAAGGTCTGGAAATTGGGTTTTAAATATTTTTGAAGGTCTGGATATGAGCGGAAAATTAAAAAGGAGTTAATATTAGATTTGACACTGCTCTGACTCGTCAATCCTCGGTGGTTTGACTTTCTGGCAGATAAAACACAATGTTCAAAGATTAACAAGGAGCGTTTCTGCTTCCTGGATCCCTCTTCTTTAAACGGGACACGGTTCTTGAACCAGATTTGGTTTCACCCTGTGATGCTGGCTTGTTTTGTTTGAAAGATGAAACAATCTAGGTCAGAGTTTTCTAGAAAATCAATGTGATGTGAAACATCCCTTTACTTTTTCTGCTGCTTTTAATGTCTGGTTTCATAAAAGGAGAAATGACACCTAACCTGGCCAATGTTTTGATTCCTCTGTAATCTGTTAGAAAGTAGAGAAGTTAATCTGAAAGAGCATAGAAATGTTAAACATGTCCTAAACAGTGGGGTGACTGATCAGAAGGGATTAAAGTTGGTTCTGGTGCTGCTCTTGTTGCTGAACTCCTTATAGATCATAGTTAAATAGAGTGGCTAATAGCAGTGGTTATCTACTGGTCCCTGAAGCTGTCAAGGAACATTGATTTATTTAGCTTTGCCTCTGAGCTCAACATGCTGACAATGATTCATTTTTAAAGGAGTGCGTTTTATCTGGTAGCCGTTCAGTTGTGATGAACCGAAGCAAACCAGCAGACTCGGACTTGGACTGGGTTAGCCCTCACATATCTGTATAGGTGGGGTCCGGCTCCAGCTCCTTACTAATTGGCTGCAGGGTGTCAGATGTTTCTGTAGGTCACCAGTTAAAAAAGAACCCGAAGCGCCGCATGTCTGCAGAGCTCAGGATTTATGCTCATCTACTGCTAACTGCTGTTAGTCAAAGCAAATTGACTTTTACATGAAAATGGAGATTCTGTGTTTGGCTCTATGCAAACATCGCTATTTATTAAGTGTTTGATTTAGGGCTGATACAACTAATCGGATTAATCGATTATTTAAATAATGTCAACTAATTTAATAGTCGATTAATCGTTAACTGGAGTATAGAGACTCTAAAACATGCCTTTAGCTGACAGAGAAAACCCATTTAGAGCAGTAATTATACCAAAATTGGAATTTTTTTTTTTTTTTTATATATTTTGCATTTAAGATTTGAAAAAAAAAAAAAAAAAAAGCTTTTGTCTGTCAATCAGCTCTATCCAGAACTCCTGGAGTGGAAAAGTTTTAGTTTCACCTGGTTTAATTCTGTAAAAAAAAATCTTCTTTAAGGAACCATTGGCTATTCAATTATTAATTGAAAAAAAATTAAGGTAATCGTTAGTTGAAGCCTAGTTTGATTTAAGTTTATCTAAACAGAGAAAACTGTTAAAACTGATGAATACAGCTTAGAATTAGCATCATATTCCCTTTCAATGAAATATTAACATCTATCTGATGTTAACCTTTAAGCTGCTCTAACAGGGCAGAACGTTCCCCTGTTGAATGGTTTGGTTTGAACAGATGGGACAGAATATGAGGGATTTCTCCTCTGATGGATTCGATAAACCAAACTGTTCATAAAGCAGCTCACTGATTCCAAAACAGTTTGGAAACAGATTCTGTAGGAAATTCAGAAATGATCTCATATTTCTCCTTTTGCTTGGAACAGCAGTGAAACCTAAAGTAAACGATCAAAAAAATCTCACATTTCTGATAACTAAAATCAAGTTAAAGAAAACGACAACAGACAAATAAGTGTCCTTTATTAGTATTTTTAAAGACACTAAAAGCAGCAGAGAAACATCAGGCTCCTGCGAGCTAGCAGATAACCCTCATCTTTTATTTCCTGGCAAAGCAAAGTGAGAAGAAACTGTTGACCTCCTTCTGTCCTTCCTCTCTGCCCCCAGGTGACCCTGAAAGGTGAAAGCACGTCCCAGGTGGTGCAGGACGACCAGGTCAAAGGGCCTCTGAGGGTAAGCCTCTCTGACACACAGGAAGTCGATTCTTTTTCTTTCTAAAAGTTTTTAAATATAGAAGCTCTGTTAAGAATCAGCGCGGCGTACAGAACATGAACTCTGCTGAATGTTTCTGATCAGCCCAATAATCCTGATCTGTACTTTTAGCTCCTGTTAAACAGGAAAACCTAAATGTTTTCTGGTGGATTGCCACCCTGTGGCTGCATGTAAATGGTAAATGGTAAATGGCATGTACTTATATAGCGCCTTTATTCAAGTTAGGAGACTTGACCAAAGCGCTTTACACTACATTCATTCACCCATTCACACACACACTCACACACTGATGGTGGCAAGCTACACTGTAGCCACAGCTGCCCTGGGGCTCACTGACAGAAGCATGTGGACGAGGAGTGATGATGCTGAGAAATGGTTTCGCTTTATGTGCTGATGACATCATATGATGTCACCAATTTCTCTTGGCTGTCTGACCGATCCACTGCCAATCCGTCAAAGGTTGATTGTTTAACTGCATGACTGTGGATTCAAGACGTGTTCTGTGTTCAGGTGGGCTCCACTGTGGAGGTGAAGACCAATGAGGGTTTGAGCAGCGAAGCCGTCATCAGTAAGCTGACGGACGCCAGCCTCTACACCGTAGGTGAGTGATGACGGGGGAATCTCATCAGATGCCTGTCAGCTTGGTGGCCTGAGGAGGTGCTGGAGAGATAATCTGCTCAGATTGATGAAAATACAATGCTTCATGTGAAGACCAATCACCATTTATAGGCTTACAGATGTTGTGATGATCGTCACATTTAGAACTGGAGGTCAGGGGGACGGATCTCTGAAGCCTCTTTCCCACTGAAAATACCAGGTTAACGCATATTTTTCAAACATTGTTGACCCGCTAACAATCAGTATCTAGCTCCCTTCCCATTGGCTAATAAATAAGTATGGCCTCTGCCCTCCTGCAGCTGTCTGGTGACACCATCACGCTGGGTTAGCGCTAATGATGTCACCAGTGTGACAGAAATCAGGAAAGTAAACAATGGAGAGCAACATGTCAGGAAGCCAGGGTGTAGTCAGTGTGCTTTATTGCTCTATTATCTGTCTAAATTCCTCTCACCAGAGCTGCTCCATGTTTATCCAATGGAAACAGAGTTGTTTCTGCTTATTAGATCAGAAGCGACCGGCCCGGCGTGTTGACGTCTGTATGTTAGGTTCAATGGTATCGCGTAAATTAGCGGATCAACCTATCTCTGGTGTTTCCACAGCATGCCGATCATAGCCGAGGAAATCTTTAACACGGGTCGCTTGCCGAGTCGTTTGACCCGGGTAGACACGCATCTGTTCCCACTGCCACTCAAAGCCCATTGTTTGCGGGTTTAAACCGGTTTTTCGGCCAGTGGAAAAGGTTTATATGGGTTCACATCAGTCCCTGAAAGGCTTTTGTTTTGAGAAAAATAAGTTCAAAGCTGCTTAAGTGGAGTCAGTCATCCAGTAATGCCTGCTGCCTGCAGGATGCTAATTTCCTGATGCATGGCTTTCCTAAGGTGGTTATGCTGACAGGTTGTTAAAAGACAACCAAAAAACAAACATTCTGGCTTAATCTGTAGTTGAGCACTTTTTTTTTGTGTTTTCTAGCTGTTGGCTGTATTTTCTGCATTATCCCTTAGAAAATGTCAAGAAGGGGAAGTTTTTTTTTTCTTTTTGAGGAGCACTGATCAGATTTCTGACATTAAGCTGTTAGAAAAGCACTTTTAATCTTTTTCTCTGTTTTACAGAGGCATGGTGCTAACGTCTTCATTAATGATCCTCTTTAAGTCTGTTATTTCATACATTAAGATGCGAAAGGTTGGCAGCTTTTTCAGTTGAAGACTTATTTCTACACAACTGGATAGTAAAGGACATGCATGCATGCATATAATAATAATCGAATAATAATAATAACCAAACTTTGTTGGTCTCGGATGGGAGAAATTCCCTCTCTGAATTTAACCTATCCCCTTGGAGAGCAGTGTGCAGCAAGTGTGGGGCGCCCGGGGAGCAGTGTGGGGTTAAGGGTCTTGCTCAGGAACCCAGAGTGGCAGTCTGTGGGAGTGGGGCTTGAACTCAGAACCTCTGGATTCCATGAGCCTCTGGATTCTAGGCCAGAACCTCTGGATTCCATGCTCTATGCTCTAACCACTAGGCCACCACTCCCCCTCTGTCCATGTATTGTGAATAAAAGACTGTAAATATTAGTGATAATATCAGCACCTGTCCCATCACTAAAACTGGACCGATGTTTATTTCTAAACAACTTCTAATGATTCTCCTTTAAAAAAAAACCCATTTATTTCTGTTGTATAAAAGCTATTTTAAAGGGATAATTCAGCGGCAGCAGTAGGTGAATCGTTTCACGTTAGCTAGGGTGTGGGAGCGCTGTCGAAGCGTTCCAGCACCTCGCCTGTTTAAATATGGTTAAAAACGCAGACACTTGTGTTCTTTATTGCCTGTAGGTGGTTGCTACGGTTACAGCAGTAGGTCTTTGCCGTTCGTCGCATGCAAACAGCATTAAAACATCTATAAAGTACCAGCAGACTAAATGTGACATAAAGCTGCTGACAGTGTGGCTGCATGTGGAGGAGGAGTGATGATGCTGAGAAATGGTTTCGCTTTATGGGCTGATGACATCATATGATGTCACTATTTCTCTTGGCTGTCTGACCGATCCACTGCCAGTCACAGCAGACGGTAGCTGTGTTTACATGCAAAGCTTTCCCTTCATCAGAATGAGATATATCTGGTTTGAAATAAAGACATTAAAGGCCTGGTTATCCTCCTGCAGCAGTGTGTCGCAGTGAGCTTGATGCAGACATTTTTGATTTATGCTCAATATTGAAGCTTGGTCTGAGCTATGTTATATTCCACGCCACTACACTAGAGAATCATGAACTAACTGTAGGTCTAGATACGGCCGAGGCGGTGAGGAAGTGGGGACAAGTTTGTCTGACTATGGAGGGACATGAGGGCGAAAAATAGCGGGGATCCAGGTGGGAAAAGGGTCCCAGCGTTCTCGTGCACCTCGCTCTTCTAGCTGGTCCATCTTCACGAGTTGTTTTCAGCAATTGTGGTCATAAAAACAAAACAAGCCGGCCTCCTGTCTGCGGTCAGTTACAATTTGGGAGAGGTGCAGCAGAGTGTCGGCGGAGGGGGCGGGGACGTCTTTGCGTTCACTGCCACACCTACGCCGACATTTTGAAGTATAAATCAGCCTTAACTCCGCATTTATAGAGATGAAAAATTAAAATCATTGCATAATAACTTTGAAATAGAAGCACTTAGGCCCTGTCCACACGAAGTCAAAACGAACACGAAACGCTAATATTTTCCAGAACGTTTGTCGTAAAGACGGAGACGTAAAATAATGTGATCGACCACACGAATGCATGAAAACGCTGCAAAATGTATGCCAGGCCTGTAAGTGGCGCTGTGGTGCCAAAGCAAAAATAGGCGAATACAGGCAACGAAATGTTGGGCATGCGCACTAATATTTATACATGGTTGCCCTGCGGGTCCATTTTCGTGGTTCAGTCAAATTCAGGTGCTGAACTATGTCGTCGATATTGCTCTGTTCTTAATGGAGATATTCCAGAAGAAGAAGATTCTGTTGTAAGCCCAACAGCAGGGTGAGTAGCATGAGCAGCAACCATTCAACACAGTACGGCGCCATTGTTGTTGTGATACTGTGTCGCGCATGCGTGTTAAGAGGCGACGCTATGACGCATGCGTGTTTAGAGGCGACGCTATGACGCATGCATGTTTAGAGGCAACGCTATGACGCATGCGTGTAAGAAAAAAAATGCGGTTGGAGCTTAAAGATGGAAAAGCGAAAACAGCGTTTCAAAATCTTCCCACTCTGAAGGCTTAATAAAAAAAAGATCGTTTACAGACCCCCGAAAAGCCGGCTTCGTATAAATGAGAGGCTGGTTTGGTGAAAAATTTGTGCGTTTAGGCCAGGGTTCGGCTTCGTGTGGACGGGGCCTTAAACATTAGCAGAGCTTAATTGATGGTAGGAAGTATAAGGATGCACAACGTACAGCTTCCTGCTGCTACCTGATCAGACGGATGAAATCCGATCGGTGTTCAGATGGACGCTGATCACATCTGGATCAACATCAGTTTAGTTCAGTTTTTTTCCAGTTGAGCTGAATCAGTTCTAAATGATCCAATCAGCTCATTTACATTATGCTACCATATCTAAATCATCTGCCTTTAACTATGTTTAGCATGTTGCTAAAGATGTCTGATGTCATCGTCGATTTTAACAATCAACTAAATCCTGCAGCTGTGGTTCTGGGAGTAAATCCGGCGGGAACGTTTCGCCTTGCTGTGGAAGAACAGTTATGTTCCTCTGAAAGATCCTATGGAGCAGGCTAGCGTTAGCCTCAAATGTTCTGTTTCCTAAAATGATTAGAATCTTTAGAAGCTGAAGTTTACTGAAAATCATTAGACTCTAGAATTGCAATTGTGTGTCTGTAAATAACACAGAGGCACACAGAGCTCAGAATCTACCTTTACAAACCAGACTAGGCAACAGGAAAACGCCATCTTCCTCAGAGCGTTAGCTTTAGATGTTTAGCAAGATATTTACATATTTATTATTAGATCTGCTCTAAACACCAGCCGCTCTCTTGGCAGGGCAGAGGCAGCAAAGCAAGAGTTTGCTGTCAACTTTCGTTTGCTGCAGACTCCTGTAGTGTCCATCACTGTTGATCGGCTGCTGAAAGGTCCCGCCCCCAACATGTTGACTCTTCTGTTTTTCAGTTTTTGACGACGGTGATGAGAAAACCCTTCGTCGGACATCCCTGTGTCTGAAGGGGGAGCGACATTTTGCAGAGAGTGAGGTGAGTTTCCTCCAGACGACTCTGACCTTCTAACCAGAGTCTGAATGACTCCTAAACGTTGTAACGTTTTCACCCAGACGCTGGACCAGCTGCCGCTGACCAACCCGGAGCATTTCGGCACCCCGGTCATCGGCAAGAAATCCAACCGAGGAGGACGGCGCTCGTCCCAGGCTGTGTGAGTGTTTGCTCTTGTTTGCTTGGTGAGAAGATGGAGGCTATCAGACCAGGTATTAACAACCTCAGTGAGATGAGGATGGAAAGGAAGACCTTGATTCCCTCTAGCTGCTCATCTTTCCTCAGAAGATGTGACTTTAAAAACCAGAAAGGATGAAGGTGGAAGCCTCAGTTGAAGGTTTTCTTTTTCTTGGAGGTTTGGTTTATGAAGAAGAGCTCCAGCTGTGGATGGGGGGAGGCGCTCATCTTGTGGTTGCATGGAGTGGACGAGGAGTGATGATGCTGAGAAATGGTTTCGCTTTATGTGCTGATGACATCATATGATGTCACCAATTTCTCTTGGCTGTCTGACCAATCCACTGCCAGTCACAGGGATGTTTGAACAGGAACCACAAAAATTCAGGAACAACTTGAACATAAAAACCTGCTTAAACTAGAGGAAGTCTTCAGGATTAGGGCGGGGGGGCCAGGCCGGGCTGCAGAAAATGGTTTGAAGCTTTAAGGCAGATCAGCGTCACATCTCTGCTAAAAGGCCAACAGGGCGTCTGTCAGGAGGGATAAAACTTTCAGCTGGTTACGGGTCCTTCGATTGAGAGAAGTTGAATGAACTGCAAATGTCTGTAAAAAGGAAGTTGAATGTAGATTTTTTCAATATAAGATACTCCATGTTTGTTCTGTAGGGCTTCTAGAGACCAGACTGAGCCAGTATCATGTGGCCCCATGGGTATGTGCTGTAATGAGGTACAGCTGTCTGGCCTCTGTCGACATGCCCCATGGGAGCGGTGGCTACAGTCTAGCTCTCCTCCATCTATGTGTGAAGCGCTTTGTGGTCCTCAGACTCAATGAAGGGCTGCATCAATTCAGGCCGTTTATTTTACAGAAACATCTAGTTCAGCGTTGGTGATTAGAAATCAGCAGAACACCATGCGTGGGTGACATGTTGAAATATAACGGTGACCCAGATTACAGATTCTGACAGCGTATCAGCCGTTTGGATTCATTGTAACACGTGTCGTTTTAGTTGCATTTAAATCCATGAGTTATCAGTGGTTTTCATCCTCCTTTATCATCTGTAGAAGGGCTCTGATGCCTGCTGAGCACCTGAGGATGATTCGTTTAGCAGACAGTCAGTGGTTTGGTTTCTCTGCCAAGTCCAACCAAACCACTGAACTGATGCTTGCTGACCAGTTACTAACCAACCCACCGGCTACATGCTTGCTAGCTCACCATTACCCGCTTGCTGCGGGGAAAAGTCTGCTGCTGTTGTTTTAATGTCTCTGCTCTACTTTCACCGCCTCCTGTTCATATCTACTGAGCCGATGCGTTAGATAAACCTCAGACAGGTTGGATTTTTCTTCATAGTTTCGTCTCCAATTATAGTTCTGTGGGTTTTAGTTTTATCTATTAATTGCTGATACTGAGAAAATGAATAAAACCAGTGAACTCGCTCTGCAAGTTGAAGGACATCAAAGAATGTTGGACCAATTAAGTCCGAGTAAATTAGCAGGTCAGCTGTTTTCAGACTTAACTGGATGTAGTGATGTAAACCATGTGGCTTTAACTGATCCACCAACCTTCAAAGAAGAATTTAAGCTGGAAATGATGTCTGGTTAGCGAAATCCAGCTGTTTCAACTTGTTTCACAGTGCGAGGACAGCCTGTTTCTCTGCGTTCTTCCTCTTCCAGGTCTGACCGGTTTCCAGCCATCGTTGGACGCCTGCCCGTTTGCTTGATAAAATGCTTCCAGTTTCAGGGATGCTGTTGTTGTGGATGATAACAAATAATGCCAGGAGTCAGAACTGTTGCTAGGCAACCTGTCACTGTAAACGTTTCTCGTGAACACCACCTCACCCGGTAATGTAATGGCTTTAGTTAGAGCTGAACCACGACCCAGTGAGTTACTGGCTCAGGTTCTGGGTATGAAGGCGGCTGTATAGACCTGAGCAGGAGCATAGAACTGTATTGCATAGAATTAATCTTAGTTTGGTGGCTCATCTGGCCCAATTTAAAGTTTCCTGCAGTTGCTTCATCTCTTTGGCTTTAGTTTCCCCGCGTTACTTCTGTTCCCTGAAAATATTTGAGGTCTGTGCGATCCGTCTGTCCATCAGGGTCGCAGGGAGCTGGTTCTCATTTCTGTCAATTGGATGCTGTGTTCACGCTGAAGGCGTTTCAAGTACTGAAATTTGGCCGCTGGGTCAAACGGTTGTCAAATTTTTGTCGCTTTAGTGATCTGGTTGTTTATCTACTTTGTTCTGTAGCTTCAAATTAGAGAACAGCTTTGCTTTATTTACATCCTCTGTTCATCAGGATTATGATCCCACTAACATATGCAGTTCTTGTTGGGAGCACCAGACCTCCAGCATACCACTGGTGTTCTGTCAGATGAGCATACCCCATCAGACCTGCATACCCATAGTCGGTACCCATCTATCCCTTTAGTTTTGTACCAAAAATACGCTTTAAGCTACCTCAACAGGTGTGTATCCCTTTAGTTATGTACAAAAAACTATTCAATTACTTACTTTTTGGTGTTTTTTTAAGTGTATGGCAAACTTAAATTCTTTTTGTTTTTTTTACATGATTTAGGGGACACGCCCGTCGAGGTAGTTCAGAGTCTATTTTCCGTACATGACTAAAGGGATAAACGCAAATCTGAGGTCTTGCACATGCGTATTGGCTATAGGTATGCTGGTCTGACAGAACACCGGGAACCCAGCTGCCAGCCTCCTGCTGACAGTTTTAGCCGCTGAAAGTGAATAGAAAGAGTTTTTAAGGTTTGTGGTAAAAACTGCAGTACCAGAAATGTGGCTTTTTATAGCAATAATGATCTGAGTGGCTCTCTGTTCCTTCAACAATCAATTCTTCCAGGCTTTTTTTTTTACCTTTAACTCCTTTGATATTTATTTTTTCATATGCAGAATGTATGCAGAATCCATAACAGTTTGTAGTTAGTGTCCTCAGCTTTTCTGATTGGTTGATGCTCCGTTGTTAAATGATTGGAGGCGCCGCTGGACTTCTCAACGCTAGTTTGGATATAAATCAGACGCTTTGTTTGCAGAAAATGCGCCCAGTCTGAACAAAGACTTCATGTCGAAAGACCTGCAGCATCACCATCTGGGGTGGTGCAGTTCATTCACCTTGTTCTAGTCGCAGGTCTTTCCTTGGATTTCAAACCATAGCTGTTTGGCAGGGGCTGAAGGCGATGCCTGCATCCCAGAAGTTATATGTGAAGAGACGGGTGGTGCTCCTCTGGTGTGGACATTTTCTGAGCATTTCTCTTGTGTTGTGGTAGCTTGATGTGTCGAGTCGTTGTGGTTCAGTCCGAGAGTTGCTCTTTTCTTTCTTCCTCCTGTCAGACATGGATCTGTCCTAAACGTTGCTCCGGGTCAGTGTGCGACTGTGTGTTGGTGAGACTGACTCAGGTAATGTGGCTCTGGGGGATGCCTTCAGGTGATCCATATGATTGAAGGAGCATTCAGAGCGTTTAGGTTAGGAAAGAGAAGATCCCAGTGAGGAATAATGGTGATGGTTTGTGATGGAGAAGCTGGAAGGAGGGGAGGCTGCTGTATTCTGATGATCCTCAGTGGAAGGACCTTTCGGCTGAAGCTGTAGGACTCTGTAGCTCTCCTGCGTTGTGATAACAGCCTTTCCTGCTCAGTTTATGGCCATTTTAATTCACAGTTTGCCTTCTTTATTATAATGTCTCTTACAGCTGCACTCATTTTTAGTTTTCTAATGTAGCTGAGGGCCCTGTCACACCTTACCGATTTATCCAGCATATGCCTGACGTCCCAGAATCTCCTAAAACGCTGGCATATGCTGAACTTTCTATGGATTATTTCAATATTGGGTGTATACAGAGAGTATTCATAACGAGTCCAGAACTTATGTCCAACAACAGCCTAACTTATGTATAACACCACGGCAGTATTTTTGTTATTTGCCCGCCCCCCCAAAAAAACAGAATAAATAAAAAGGTGTAGGTGTTGGGCGTGAACGCAGGGAGGACCCATCACTCTCACCTTCTGGCTCAACCTATGATGGGGATGAAGTCTGGAGGAGAAGTTACTCACAGGTTTTAGTTGAGCTAGATGCTACAACTTATGAGTAACTGACACTTAACTTATGTCAACCACCAGATAATTTGACTGTAACTTATGCCCCACATATGGCATATGCTGGCATACGTTGGGAAATTTTTTAGCATGCTTCTTGACGTACTCGCCATATGTCCACGTGTGCCAGAGTGCTTCAGCATCCTTTAGTGCGCTCATTACTGAGGGTTCCCCCGGGTCCTTAAAAAGTCTTAAAAGGCATTGAATTCTTTAAAATAAAACTAAGGCCTTAATTGGTATTAAAATGTCTTAAATCAGTCTTTCGTAGGTCTTAATTTTCAAAACATCATAAATAGGATTATTTTTTATTACGATTTATTTTTGTAATCTAAATAAAACATTAAAATTGACATTTTTTTTTTTTATAAAAAAAAATAATGGCTCGCCATTATTGGTTCCGTCCCGATAGCCGAACCAATAAAGCGTTGTTGCTGCCGGGACATTTGGGAGATGCGCCATTTACTTTTTGTCTGGAAAATATGAGCAAGTGTAAATGTAACCAACATTGTCTCCAGCCAAGAGTTTTCTCCTTGGCTAAAACCAGGGAACATACATGAGGCTCAGTGGATTTTGTGCAAGAAGTGATTCAAGCTCAGAACGATGGGAATTAAGGCAGTGGAGTCGCACATGCGAAGCACGAAACACAAAGCGTCAAAATGGAGTTACGGAGAAACAGCTGGTATTTCTCAGTTTAGTTCCACCCTTGTCTCTGCAACGCCTCCACTTATCACCAAATCAAACATACTAAGAAAACCATACAAAGAAAAATAGCTGCAATAAAGACTTAGCACTGGTTATGTTGGGGCTTTAAAACTGATTTTTGTTCCCTGCTAAAACAAAGTTTGTGAATTCAGTTAAATAATTGTTAAAATATATCTGTCATTTGTGTGTTTTTAGCTTTCTTCCTGTATGGGAAGCTTTTCAAAATTTGAAACATTAGTGCAGTGGTTTATGTTAAAATAAACATTTGGGTTAAGTTGTCGCAAGCAGGTTTTTTTTCTTGTGTTTCTTGTGAATTTGGTCTTAAATCTTTATTTCAAGTGGCATTAAAAAGTCTTAAAAAGTCTTGAATTTAACTTGCCTTATGCTGTAGGAACCCTGTAACTGATACAAAATTTACCCATAACTTTTCCAACGTATGCCAGGGTTTTTGCCAAATTATTCGCACATCCCTGATTAGACTGTGCTTCGGTTCCTGCAGGATGTAAACTCAGGTTCTTCTTTCTCATGTCTACTTCAGGGCCGATGAGGAGAACGACACTTCATCCAGTGAGGAAGAGGAAGATGACAAGAAGAGGCTGACGGATGAGCTGCGGGGACAGATCTGCAGCATAGAGAATGTGGAGGACTCTGATCAGTGGTTCATGGCTCTGGTAAACAGATGAAAACCGATGAACGCTTTCCGGTTCTATGCACTGTTACTCTTTCCCTAAACGGTTCCTGAATTTTTCTCCTCCTTCCATTTCTATCTGCATATGTTTTCTTATTTTTCCAAGTGATGTTCCATGTGTGATTAAAACAGTTAAGCAGTTTCTGATCCTCCTGCAGGTCTTGTCCCCCAGTTGCAACGAGGAGCTGGTGGTGAAGAAGGACCAGTGTCTGGTCAGGTCCTTCTGTGATGGCAAATTGTAAGTTTTTTTTCATTAATTTATTTATGTATTGATGTATCTGATCCCGTTGACAAGCAGCCATCACATGTTGTTCCATCGGAAACACAGAACGACTGGGTTCTGTGTTTCTACACAGCAAAATTTTCTTAAAATCAGTGTATTTTCTCTTGTTTTGATACATGAAGACATTTTAAGATAAGAAAAAATGTCCATTATCTTACTTTAAGCACATAATATCTATTACAAAATCTTCCTTCATCCCATTGGGAGATTATGTTAATGACCTGCTGTAATTAAGGAAGGATTTACCTATTTGATTAAACCTTTTCCTCGTCCTCTGTCCAGGTTTTGCAATGCATGCTTTTTTTAAAATATTATATATACATAATATACAGGAAAAAAATATACAATATTTACAGAACAAAAGACATTCATATTACTGTAATTCAAGTATATAAAAAGACAGGAAGTAGATTTTTAAAAACTGGGTAAGCGCATTTGAGGGGCGTATAAAGTTGGGAAGGCTTTAAGATTTGAGATAAACTTGAAATTTGGGATAAATGAAGGATCAGTTTCTGGTATATGATTTGCAGATTGTATTTATTTCTTTATTTCAGTATTGAGTGAAGACAGTTTAGTTTTATTGAATTAACTTGTATGAAGGTGAAATTTGCCGTATAATTCAATTCAGTTTATTTCTATAGCGCCAATTCACATCAAGTCATCTCAAGGCACTTTCCAGTTCACCAGATCATCCAGTCAGATTGATTCAAAGTTTTCTATCTAAGGAAAACCAGCTGATTGCATCGACTCATTGACTCTTCAGCAATCCCTCACACTAAGCATGCTTGTAGCGACAGTGGAGAGGAAAAACTCCCTTTTAACAGGAAGAAACCTCCAGCAGAACCAGGCTCAGTGTGAGCGTCCATCTGCTGAGGCCGACTGGGGTTCAAGGAGACAGAAGCAGACATAGAAAAAGAAGTATAGATTCAAAAGGCAATTTTAGGTTCAGTAGTGCAGAAGCAACAATTTGGATTCACCTCGAGATTTTAAGCTATTTCGTTATTTGTTGGATAGATCTTATAAAGAATTTGATGTTATGAAGAAATATTGATGAGGCAGTGACTTGCTCCAGTCTATTCTATTAAAAATGGAGTTCCAGTAGAATTTGCCTCTTGGTTGGAGGCGTTTCTGTTTATTGTTGCATTTGGTGCCAATAAAATCAAGTTTGTTGAGACCCAGTTTGGTGGTCATGATTGTATTGCAGTGCATGCTTCATCTGAATGTTGACTCCGTGATCACATCATTTCAATGGTTTCTCTGAACATGTTCGGAAAAAAATATCCCACCAGTCGCTTTTCTGACTCCTTCTGTCCTCGTCGTGCAGTTACACCGTGGGGAGGAGACACGCCCACGTCGTTAACGCCATTAGCATTTCCAAGTCCGATTTTTCCAAGAGGAAAGGTGAGATTCTCTTTGTTCTCCTGTTCCTCACCCACGCTGCTCGTCTCCACCTCTTCCACTCAACCCCTCTCCTCCATGTCTTGCAGGTATTAAAGAAGCCCAGATGTTTCTAAGGAGCCGGGAGGTTCCAGACGTTTGGAAGATGGACATGAGTCAGATTCTAGACTCCTCTAGTGAGGATGACAAAGATGACAAGGATAGCGAGGCAGAGGAGGAGAAAGATGCTGAGGATGAAAAGAGAAAGAGGCACATAAAAGAGGAGGTAAAGTTTCCTCAAGCGACAAATGGGCCAGTAAATCTAAATCTAGGATCCTTCTTCTGGGATCCTATGGAGGGGAGAGTCAGCCTAGAACATGTCTGTTTCTGAAGGTCATGGAGGACATATGTAGGGATGTTTCCATTTTATATGAAGGGCAGCATGAAGGACAAAGCTTCACTAAGGACGGAACCAGCTGCACCAACTAAGCAGGATTAGCTCCTAAATCCTGATAAACTTCCTTTCTGTGGGTTTTCTGCCTTCCTTCATATTCAGATAGTTTTGAGATCATTCTGGGTTTCATTGACATGTTTGTGTTTCAGTTTAGGGCTGCAACTAATGTTTATTTTGCAAATCGATTAATCTTTCAATTATTTTTTTTGATTAATAATCTGATAGCCAAAGGGTGATTGAAGAAGACTTTTTAAGAAATTAAACAAGGTGAAACAAAAACTTTTCCACTTGAGTTCTGATAGAGCAGATTGACAGATTTTTTTTTTAATCTTAAATGCAAAATGTTTATATACTTATATGTTATGTAACGATTTATCTGACTAAAACTTTAGTCCAGGTAGACCTGCGTAAGACTGACACATCGTACGCCTTAAAAAACACTCTGCAAATGGACTAAATGGTTGGTGATTTGTTAGTAAAGTTAAAATGATGATTTCGGAGATTATTTAGGTCATTCAGAGGTCACCTTCCCCCCTTGATAAAGATTCACCTTCCTGAATCTTTATCACGTTCTAAAGTTAAAGACAAAAGTATCACAACAGCAACACATTAATAACAATAGTTAGTAATGCTACGTTCACACTGGACGCAGCAGGAGCAGCAAAATCGCGTCTGCTGCTTCATTTTTGCTGCTTGTACCAGTTAGTTCTGACGCGCGGCTGAAGCAGCTTTGCTGCTCTGGCTGCGCGGTGCAAAAGTGTGTCTGACGCGCGTTGGGAGCGGAGCTACTCTATCCTTTCTCTGCCTTGCAGCTATATTTGCTGTGATCAGTGGGGATAAAGTAGTTTTATTATGTTTTTAAGTAGGAAAATCGACCTGAAAACTTAATCAATGCAGTCAGTTCATCCAGATTACCATCCTGCTTCCAATATTTCTGTCGGAGCCACTCAGACCCCCACATACCAGCGGTGCGCCGACAGTAGGATTCCCTTGAACAGCAGCCTCTGGCCGGGTTGCCTCCTCGCGGTTCAACGCGGCGGCTGGTAGGTGTTTTTCATCTAAATAATCTAAACTGCAGGCACCAGGATAATAAAAGCGAACATATTCTGCCGGCAGATTTCTGCATTTGAAGTTAATTTAGGCGTTAGTAAACTGTTTCAAAGGAGTGATCACAGCCCTGTGTCATCAGCGATGTGTCTGTCTCACGGCCAGCTCCCAGATCAGCTTCTCTGATTGGTTGACGCGGCGCGTCGAGCAGCAAAAGTTAAATTTTTCCATCTCGAACAGCAGCGCGTTTGCGGCGCGTCAGATGCTTAAACGCTCCCGACGCGCTGCGCCTGCTGCTCAGACGCGCTGCGGGACCTTTTGCTGCGCCTTGACGCGCGTCAACCATTGACTTTGCATGTAAACTCGCTGCTTCTGCTGCGTCCGGTGTGAACGTAGCTAACTGGTTCAGTTCAGAGCTCGATGGAGAGACGTTGCCCTCTGGATGACCTAAAAAAAATCATCTTTATTATCTCTTAAAAAAAAAAAAAAAGGAATACAAATGATCAACAAAAAGCTAACCATTCAGTCTGTATGCCGAGCGTCTCTTTTTCTCGCCGGTGGGCTGTCAGCTTCCAGGAGCTTTCAGGTGCTGCTTGTTGACATGAAGTGAAAGTCTAATGACCCGCCTTGCTCTCTGACCTTCTGTCCATTTAGCCAGAGGAGGAGGTAGACCCCGAGGAGAAGGAGAACTTCCTCCAGCATCTCTACAAATTTATGGAGGACAGAGGTAAGACTGAGAGGAGACGGGAAACTTTCAGTTCTCCCACAATCAGTCCACTTGAAATTTTTTGATGCCGAACTGCTGACTGAAAGGCAAAGCGGCTGAATATCAGCAAAGGAGAATGTGAGTGCGCGTATGTTAGTGTGGGAGCATTCAAAAGGTAAAGACGCGCCCAGTCGGCTGCGTGTAAAAGCTAACAGCCAACGTGTTCAAACACCAGTGAATGTCTGCTCTTTGATCGGTGTTCTGCTAAACTAGGTTTCCTGAGGAAATCTGTTCCCTCCTGCAATTATAGGGCACTTTCAGCAGGGAGATCAGAGCCTTTTTTATCCCTCTGCTTCATCAGGTACCTGCTTCATTTCCTAGCAATATAGATGGGATTATAAGCACTTTATTCTAGATCTGCCAGATTTTACTCGGTTTAAATGTAAGTAAAATTCATATATTGAGAAACTAGAGATGATGGCAAACGTCCACATAGAGCTGCAGAGCTGTAGCTAATATTCAGAGGTTTAAAAAAAACTGAAATGTTAGAACTGTAAATATACAGTCATATGTTTACATTACTGTTTTTATGTATTTTTTTACTGTTTTTCAAGGTTGCACTTTAAAAAAATGAAATTGTTTAGAGAGCTGTTAACGAAATTTCTTTTTGTTTACAATTGTATATACAAAGTAATAAAATAAATCAGTCTAAGTTAAGGTGACGGAAACAAATCGTAGAGTGAAATCCTACATGCTTGATGTTGATGCAGAACAAATTTTAATATAATCTAAATTTCAAGTTTAACAAACGTTATTTTGGTCGAGTCGTTGAGAACCACCTCCGTCTGATTGTGCAGATCTGAACTCCAGGGAACAACGCTGAGGATCTAAACTCTGTAGGGATGCCGTAAAACCTGTTGATCTGTTTTTACTGCAGCTCAGACAATCAGCCAAACACTGAACCTGGGTCAGTAAAATAATCAAACTGTCTTATAGGACATCAGTTCCTGCAGCGTCACACACTGGATATGTGTGAATACGGTTAACAGTAAAGCTCCAAGTGATAATTTAACCCTATTAAGAGATTGTATTAGAGTTCAAAGTTTAAATAACCCTGTAATTATGTATACTAAGGTTTATAAAGAGTTAAAGGCTTATAGAATTGAAATCCAGGCAGAACTCCAGTTAACCGGCTTATTTAAAGCATTTAAACTTTTCTGATCCTCCTAAAGCAGGGGTTGGCAACCTTTAACACCGAAAGAGCCATTTGATCCGGTTTCCACGGAAAAGAAAACAGTGGGAGCCGCAAATACTTTATGACATCTAAAATGAATTTATTTATGAACGCATTTATTAAATAGAAAGGAAATATATTTTAAAAAAACAACAACTTCCCTTTCATGCTTCGGGGTTCACCCCAGTCGTACAGTACACTTATTAGTGCTTTGACTACCCTTTTGAAGATGGGCTATCATCTTATCTAAAATGAAGATAACACTGTATATATTGCTTTTTCATCCAGCGAGGATGTGTGTTGCTTATGAAATCCACAAAGTGCTACAGAGAAAATTTTATCTAATGAACACTTTTTTAACATTTTTGAATTCTTGATAAAAAATAATACAATGTCTATTCAAATAAATGAAAAGGCTGAACTTAAATAATCCATGTAGCAAACAAAATCAAAAAAAAGCCGTGAGCTGTCATTCTTATATCGTCTTTGGGCTTTCAGAGCATGTTGCGGAGCCTCGACCTGAATTTCAAAAATAAATTGGGGAAAAAAGAACTGTGTCACTAAACAATGAAAAATAAATATTTGCAAAATATCTGCATAAATATTTATTTAACCTGGTTAATGGGACTTCTGCTCCTGAACTTCTGCGCACAGCGTCTGCTAATCGGGGCTGTACTTTTTTTAAGTAATTTATTTTCCCAAGCAGTATAAGGATGAAAGAGCCGCGGGTTGGTGACCTCTGTCCTAAAGGAACCAGAATTGGAATCGTTCAAACGATGCCCAACGCTGATCGTGATAAACCTGTTTAAAATTGAAACTAACGCCTGAACTGCAGCTGTTTTTGTTTCCTGATGAGTTGGTTTAATGTGTTCCTCTCTCTCTCAGGGACTCCCATCAACAAGCCCCCAGTGTTGGGCTACAAGGACCTCAACCTATTTAAGCTCTTCAGGCTGGTCTACCAGCTGGGAGGCTGCCGCAAGGTGAGGAGGGCGATGTGTGACTGATTAGAGTAGTGTGTCAGTTGAGTGATGATACCCAGAAAGTTTCGCATACTGGACTGAGATCCTGATGAGTCTCTTGGCTGTCTGACAGAACAGGTTTGGACCAGCGTCCTGATGGAGGAATCCTCTAGCTTCACTCAGGTTCTCATTCTGTGTCCGTTTCAGATCGAGTCCGGCACGGTGTGGAAGCAGGTCTACATGGATCTGGGGATCCCTATACTCAACTCTGCTGCATCCTACAATGTTAAGACGGCCTATAAAAAGTAAGACCTGCTGGAGTGCGGCTGAGAACGCCTGCAGAGCTCCATGTCTGTTGGGCTTCATGTGACGTCCCCCTGCTATCTGCTCTCAGGTATCTGTTTGGGTTTGAGGAGTACTGCTGCTCAGCCGGCATCACCTTCAGAACCATCCACCACAACGACCCCCTTCCCAGCACTGCAATGAGCTATCATAAAAAAGGAAAAGGTGATGTAAAGGAGTCCTTCATGATACCACTGAAAGAGCATTTTGCTGAAGACAAGAAGGAGGAGGCAGATTCAGAAAGCGAGAGCGAAAAGGAGGTGAAGGAGAGACATTCATCGCCCAGGGTGAGAATCGGCTCTTTGTTTTCGTTTCAGTCATTCAGCTCAGGGATAGTTTAGAGCAACTCAAAAGGGGAATCTGCCCTGATGTGTCCTTTGAAACTGAAAACGGATGTCTGATTCGTCTGACTGTAGGGAAGGAGGAGGGGGGGCGTGGGGAGTCGCGGAAAACTTCCCACCAAACCAGAAAGTACCGGACGGGCAGCAGACGCCACTGAAGAGCAGCAAAGAGAGGTGAGGAGGCGCAGCAACAGGAGACCGGATGACTCTGAGAAAGGCTCTGATGAGGAGGAAGAGGATGATGATGACGACGAGGAGGATGACGAAGGGGAGGAAGAGAGAAGAGGACAGGGGTAAGATTCTGATAATGAATTGGTAAACATATTAGCTCTGTGTAAAGCCACATCTCTAATTTAGAACAAATGTCATTTGACAAACAGGGTTACTCCCCACCTTTAAGTATTCAATAAACAAAATCCAGTAAAATACTGAAAGAAATAGATTCAAGCTCATTCATAGGTTTGACTTAATGAGACTGAATTGAGATTCTGATGGCAGATCGTCTATAAAACGATGTCTAGGCAATGCAGGCAGTTGCATCAATAAAAGGAGTGAACATGGAGGTGAGTGCAGATATTAAAAATGAAGAAAAGGAGTCCCTGTGTCCTCCAGCAGTCTAAACCTACAGCAGCATAATTATAGAGATAGCTCAGGATAACCTGAGCCACTCTAACTTTAAGCTTTATCAAAAAGGAAAGTTTTAAGCCTAGCCTTAAAAGTAGACAGGGTGTCTGCCTCACGGACTAAAACTGGTAGTTGGTTCCACAGGAGAGGAGCCTGATAACTAAAAGATCTGCCTCTCATTCTACTTTTAGAAATTCTAGGAACCACTAGTAAATCAAATCTGGTTTTCCATGACATAAACTCTTAACCAATCTGGTTGAATTGTATCTGTAAAGTTTCTGCAGATGTGAATTGCTGCTATATAAATAAACGTGATCGAATCAAAATAAACTTCCAGTTTGAGCTTTATGGGCTAATTATTCCGTGCATGACAGCATCCAGGTTGGATCCATGTTGTGTTTGGGACAGACATCCATCCATTTCAGATGGATGCCTTTCCCAAATTCATCCAGAGATGGCTTGAAGAGGAGAAGGTAAAATAGGGCTCCGGTATAGATGGCTTTTAGATCTATTTTTAATCAGCTATATTTGTCCAATTATTCAGAGGGAAGCGTTTAAAAGAAGGATCTGTAGGTTTCCATTTGTGAAGCAAACAAGTGCAGTTCAGTTTGATGTTGGCTGATTGTCAAAAGATTTACTTCCTCAGTAGTTTGGAGAAAACAAGTCTGATAGCATCTGCATGAGAATGAAGCTGAGTTTGATCCCACGCATCTGAGATTTGTTGGTTTTTTCTTGCTTCGCTGTTTTAGGAGCGAGGAGGAAGAGGATGGAGACTCGTTGGCCGGAACAAAGGTCAGGGTGAAGTACGGCAGAGGAAAAACTCAGAAGATCTATGAGGCACACATCAAGAAGACAGATGTGGACAACGGAGAACAATTCTACTTGGTCCATTACTACGGCTGGAACGTTAGGTCAGTGTGATGGTGACTTCCTGCAGCTTGTTGACTCCTTCAGACTGTCACCAACCTGCTGGGTGTCGGGTGTCCTTCATGGTGGATAAAAGCCAGTCCTTGACTCCACATGGCAGCAGGTTTGGTTTGAACCGTCTAACTGGGCTTTGGTGTCTGACCTACAGGTATGATGAATGGGTGAAGGCTGACCGCATCATTTGGCCGGCGGAGAAAGGAACCAAGAAGAGGCAGAGAAAAAAGGTGAAGGTAAGACGCCGCTGTGCGAGTTATCCAGCTCGTCTCCATATAAAACGGGGCCTGAAACTTTCCACTCAGACATTATAAACTATGAGTTCTGGGGTTGCCATGGTGATTAAAGCAGGTTTTGTTATCTTTAGCAGTGTTGGCAGGTTCTAGATTCAATGGAAAAGGAAATCGGCATCTCTATAAAACCTTTCAGTGAAGGAGTCTGCCACATTTCTTTTCCCTCCTTAACTTTTCTAGTTACTGAAATGGACCCTGCTTCACCTCACACCAGAGGAGATGGCATCTCATAGGCTCGCCTTGGTGGGTGCAGGAGTAAGGCCCCCATCCGGTTTCCTCGACATGTCTCGGGTTGGAACACGCCCTCCTGGCGGTTGATGCCCCGGGTTCATGAACAGACTGTTCCCACTTCACAATAAAGAGCCTACGTAGTCGGCTAGCTCGCCAAGCTAGCCTCTCTGGCAGAGACCCGTATTTGCCATCAAGCGGGCTGCCACCCAGCAACAACAGTGATCCGGGGAGGATTGTCCAACCCAGACTGAGACTAGCTGGGGTTTCCAAGCGGATTTAGCTGATACGCTTTCACCGGTTGAGGACATCCTGGAGATGGTCTACGAGGATGAATATGAAGTCATCTCGGAGCTCGTCCTTTCAGAGGATGACGACGAGGATGAATTCTTCATTCCAAACCTACAGGCTGCAAAGCCAGTCGCCCCGTTGGCTCATGGGGAAGGCGAGGAGAGTGCTACAGCCTCCCCCGCTGTAAGCATGGATATGTAGACAGTGTGCAAACGCACTCCATCCAGGCTCAACATCCCCTGGCCCAAAGTAGTAGCGGAGACCACCAGAACGTGCTACGAAGGGAAGAAATTGTCCCAGACCGTTCAGCGGGCAAACAGCTGCGTCCTGTTTTTCCCAGAGCTCTTGGAAGAGGTTGCGCTCTCCTTGAAGGGCTGCCCGTTTAGTGGGAAAAATCTGATTCAGGTTCTTCTCTGGACTGCAAGGGCATGGGAAAAATGTGGCATCCACTGCATGCCCCCAGTGGAACCACTGGCTGGTAGCACAGCTGCCAAAGTCTTTGGAGAACCTTACACTGCCATCCAAGGCTGACAACTTCCAGTCCGCCTTGACGGAGAGAGCTTATAAAGCAGCAGCAGTTGCTGTGAGACCTCTGAACGTGTCCTCCATGCTCTCTGCATTCCAAGCTGTACTGTGTGAGGACATGGCCACTTAGCCGGACCTGAACGTGTGGGAAGAAATCACTGTTATAACTGACATCTGCAGTCCAGGCCAGAGGAAAATCTATGGGGACAACGGTTCTACAGGAAAGAGCGAGGTGGCTCCACCTCACCAACCCGTCAGACCATGAAAGGGATGACATTTTGGACTGTCTTATCCTGCTGGAAGGCATCTTCGGTTCCATCTTAGCCTCAAAGCATCAGCGTTGTGAGGCTTGGAAAAAGGAGGACATGGCGCTCTGCTTCCGTCTACCCAGTCTTCCTTTGTAGACGAAGCAGCACTTCTAGAGACAAGCCGATCACTAAGCAGTGGCTCTCCCACTGGATTGTGGGAGCAATTACTCTATCATATACAAGCCAGGGTCTTCAAGTTCCAGTTAGTCTACATGCCCACTCTACTCAGGGCATGGCCATGTCCTGGGCCTCTTTTAGGGGTGGGTCCATTCAGGACATGCATGCAGCGAGTTGGTCTTCACCACTTGCTTTTGCTCTGTCCTTTAAGTTGGACGTCTGTTCCTAGTCTTGCTTCAGTTGTTTTGAACTCTGAGGCACGCACAGCTGAGTGATAGGGGACGCTAGAGATACGATGTCTGGCAATACGGGGGTCTCCATATCCCATAGTGAGACAGTGAAACCAATGCTATGAATGAGATCTATAGGTTAGTTGCATAACCCCGGTTCTCAGAGTAGCATTAGTGAGATGGAGCCAAGTGAGAGGTTCTTATTTCGAGTGATGCCGCATCATGATGCAGTTACTTATAGGATAGGTGATGCAGTTCTCATGATCAGCAGCCAATCAGGATTGGCGTAATAAAATAAATGCTTCTGAGGAATACGGCAAGAGGCGTATCACTTAGTGAGACATCTCACTCATGCTACTTTGAGAAAGGTGGTTATGCAAGTAACCCTTTCGCTTTATAAAGTTCCACATGATGATGTTAGCTGCTGTTAGTGCCCAGGGGCTGGTCTTCTGATAGATGGGGTCCTGTCCAGGATCTGACCCCTACCTGGGCAGCCTTTTATTGAGATGAATGGATGGATGAATTCTTCCCCCTTTTTATTCTGACAGAACAAAGATAAGGAAGAACCAGAGAAGGAGAGAGAAAAAGAAGAAGAGAAGCCTGTATCAATAACGCCTGTGAAGCCACCCGGCTTGAAGCGAGGTCGTCCTCAAATCAGGACCCCCCCCTCAGGACGCAGCGTTTCCAAAACCCCCAGCAGTGAGGGCCAGTCCAATGGCAGGGGCGCGCGGTCAGAGGTCACACCTTCCCTGGCAAATGGAAATGGTAGGGGGAGCTGAACTTTTATGGAATACTAAACATTTTATTCAGTATAGTTGATGTTGGTTTCCTGTGTGCAGATACGACTCGCAGGAGTACCAGAACATCGGGCATGTATGAGTCTGATCAGGCCTCCAACGGTAAGAAAGGCCCCGCTTAGTCTGCTCTGTTTAAGGATCCTGTTCCTCTAACAGCCCATCTGTCTCTGCCCGCAGAAGATTCTGGAAACTCATCAGATGACAGCGAAACAGACAATGGACCGGAGAAGACGGAGAAACTGTCTCCTTGGCGAGGGGGATCTGAGCCTCAGACCCGTGAGCCGGAGGAGGAGGAGCCGGCACAGCTGGAGCAGCAGGAGGTGGAGACGTCTGCACCCGAACCTGCTGATGTTGATGACATGAAGGCCGAAGCAGCGTCTCCAGAGGTCACAGCACCGCCATGTCCCAACATGCCTCAGGAGGAGGCGGACCAACAAGAGAAGCAGCAGCAGGGGGCGGAGCCTGCGGAGGAGCCCAATGGGACAGCAGTCCACCTGGAGAAGGAGAATAAAGCAATTCCTGTGATGCGGACGTTACCCATCCAAGACAAGAGCAGGGTGTCCCCTGGACAGGAAGTGATGCTGGAGGAGTCCCTCCCGCCTGAGAGACAGCAGGCCGCATCCTCCTCACCCAGCAGCACGGCTGAGGAAGAAAACTCCACTGCTGCAGCTCTGTCCCCCAGAGGGAAAGGTCGCAGGGCAAATCCCGGAGAGTCCACTCCTGAGACTCCGCCCACAACCCCACAGTGCAACGCTAGCCCCGCCCCCAGCCCCTTGCAGGTCACACTCCTGACTACTCCTCCCCGGGGGATCATGAAGAGACAAGAAGAACCCATGGTGGTCCTACGATGCCTCCCGTCCCAGCACCTCCCCACCAAGCCCCCGTCCGTTAACTCGGACACGGACTCCGCCACAGAGGACGAGGAGGAGGAGGAAGAGGAGGCGGGGCCTAAACAGAAGAGTAGTTCACCACTGAAACGTAAAGCAACAGATCAGAGAACGGCAGAGAAGAAGCTCTGCACGGAGGACAGGAAGGAGGAAGGCCCCCCCGCGCCGCCCACAGCCCCCCCTCTGCCCCAGCCGTCTGAGCAGAGCGGGGATGAAGGGGGGGAGGCGGAGGACCAGCCTCGCCCAGAGGAGAAGAAGGATAATGTGGTGGAGGTGGAGAAGCTGTCGCCATGTGGACCTGCAGAGGTGCATTCTGGGACAGAGGCCCAAAGCCCCCCCCCAGCCGAAGAGCTGGACCCTCAGATCGGTCCCGAGGCTCTCGTCTGCCACGAGGTGGACCTGGACGACCCGGATGAGAAGGAGAAGCCCCCCTCCTCGTCGGACTGCCTCCTCCTCATGATGCGGGAGCAGAACCAGGCTCCGCCCCCCCTGCCTCTCGCCACTCAACCCCCCCAGCCTCAGGTCAGATCCTTCCTCATAGCTGCCCCTCCCACTGTCATTTCTGAGGAACCCCATCCTCCCAAGGACCCTGCTGAGGAGGAGCGGGGCTGCAGCCGGGGGGAGCAGGGGGGAGACTCCAGTCCTGGCTTTGAAGGAAGCACCTCCTCCTCTTCCTCGCTGCTGTTTTTGCAGGAGAACAAGGACAGAGGTGAGGAAGGAGACGCGCCGCCCTGTACGCCACATTCTGCTGTCTTCTGGTCTCTGTTTTGACTTTTTTCTGATCTTGACCTTTCAGGTCAGAAGAGGGTGAACGACGTGAACTTCAGCCTGACGGCCAAGAAACACAAACGGAACCAGAAGCGGACCCTGACCCCCGCCAAGGCCGACAAGAACGGAGCAGGTAGGCTGATCTGGGTCCTCTGATCCACCGGCCTGGTTCTTATCTCTTCTCACCGTCTTCTTTTCGTGCTGGTCGTCTTCCAGGTCACAGCAGCGACAGCGAGGACCAGTCTCGTCTCTCATCGCTGTCCAAATCCCAGAAGTCCCGTTGTCCCGGTCTGTCCTCTCCGTCCTCGCACAGTAAAGACAAACATGGCTTCCCCTCCCCACAGCGCTCCTACAAGTGGACACTGCAGCTTGGTAAATTACCAATCTCTTCATCCCTTTTTAAACCAGAAGGTTAACTAATCAGATACTAGTACACATCTAACCATTAACTAACCAGCGCATATATAAGCGTTAACTGACCAGTAGTCATGCATATCTAACCTAACTGATCAGAGGAAGTGATGAGCAGCAGAGTGACTCTTTGAGGCCATGAGAAGATGAAGAACCTCTGAGCCGTTCAGGCTGCTTGAGATGTTTGAGGAGAAGTTCTGCTCTCTGAGCCTCAGGAAGCGGCTCTAGCCGAGACCTTGGACCAGCAGATGTTTCTGCTGAATGTAGCTCTATGCTTTTTGACTTAACGGGTCTCTGCTCCTCAGATGAGTTGGACAGCATGTCGAGCACCGAGAGGATCTCCTTCCTGCAGGAGAAGCTGCAGGAGATCAGGAAGTACTACATGAGCCTGAAGTCTGAGGTGGCCTCCATCGACCGGCGCAGGAAGAGACTAAAAAAGAAGGAGAGAGAAGGTGGGGCAGAGAGGGACACCTCTACGTCTTTGTCCTGAATCTGTGCTAAGGCTGTAACTGTCACTGTCCTTCGTCCTCAGTGTCCAACACCACGGCGTCCACCTCCTCAGGCTCCTCAGACACAGGCATGAGTCCGTCCTCGGCCTCGCCGGCTCAGAACACCGTGGCGGTGGAGTGCAGGTGATGACACGCCCACGTGGGGCGCGTCCCTTCAGCCCACAGACTTCGGACACTTAAATCAGGACGCTGCAGACTGAGCTCCTGGCTGCGTGGAGCTGAGATGGGGAGGCGATTGAAGGCGGGCCTTTATGCACTGGTGCAGACGTGTCCTCCATCCCTGCCCTCTAGGGTGACCATGCTCCTGTCCAGAACCATCTGATGAGTCCGTTTGGTTTCAGGGTCAGCAACCAGTAGGTCCGCTTCAACCCAAACACATCCAGAAGGTTTTCCTTTACTGGGAGCCAAACCAGGACAAAGACGACGTTCTAGGTTCACTTTTCTGATTGAATGATTTTATTTTGATTGGTCCAGAGACACTTATCCTAATCGTTTTCTTCTGTTAAACAGAATTTCTTCTGTTTTCTCAAGTTTTGTTCCTCTTTAGATAAATATTGGATTAAATTTAACAAATTTTTTTTTGTAAAGGCTTTTATGAATTTCTGAGGTAGAATTAAATTAGTTTGAATTAAATCTTCTAACTGACCTGGTTTCGGTCCACTAAGTTTAAACGATGATGGGAATTTGAATCACATGAAATCACTCAGAGAAAATGTGAAAACTGAAATGTTTAAAAAGAGATGTTCTGAAACAGGAAGAGTCCTGAAACCGAGTCTCCTCCAGGTCCGAACCGGTTTCTGGACGCTGCGTTCCGCCCCTCCCTCCCTCTGTTCTGCTCTGCATCAGGTTCAGACGGACGGCTGCTACCAGCTCCTCCACGTTTGCTTGTTTTGTACATAAAATGTTAAAAGAATAAAACCACACCTGTATTTGAGAACTACGTTTTACACCCCAGAAGAATAATTTCTAATATTTTCTAAGAGACTGTTTGTACTGTAGTTGTTTACTCCTCGGTTGTTTGTTTTGGGTTCTCATGTGTTTTGCTGGCAGAGATTTGAGAGCAAACATGTAAATAGAGAAACGCACACAAGCCATACTACAAGTGTGTGTGTGTGCAGCAAGCAGCGCTCTCTGTTTCTAATAAAGTTTTTAACCAGATCTGCTGCAGCGTCTCATTTTCATAAGTTAAGATCTTTAAGTTATCAGGCTCCTCTCCTGTGGAACCAACTACCAGTTTTAGACCGTGAGGCAGACACCCTGTCTACTTTTAAGGCTAGGCTTAACTTTCCTTTTTGATCAAGCTTATAGTTATGCTGCTATAGGCTTAAACTGCTGGAGGACATAGGGACCCCTTTTTTATCATTCTGCAAAATAACAAAAACAACCTTGCAATAATTTTTTTGTTTAATCGTACAGCAGTACCTGCCTGGCCAGCAGGCATCATCAATGTGATTCCGCTCCAACCTTTAGGACGATTAACTAAGAAGTTGTAGCCAGTAGTCTCGGTGTGGAAAAATAAAAAGGGGATGGTGAAATTTTTTTTCTTAGTTTTAGAAGCATACATACCCTAATGTATTAATCTAAAGCAGTAGGCATGGTATTGGTTTGGTTGTTACATGTCAGGTACGCTGGTCATTGACCTTGACCAAGGCACCTTCCAGTAGTACTGCAGACAGTCCCTGGACTGGCAAGGCTATAAATGCCCCTACAGTTAGCATGGCTATCGCTTTCCCTACAGTTAGCATGGCTATCGCTGCCCCTGCATAGTGAGCATGGCTATCGCTGCCCCTACAGAGTTAGCATGGCTATCACTCCCTACATAGTTAGCATGGCCAGCACTCCCTACATAGTTAGCATGGCTAGCACGTCCTACATACTCAGCATGGCTATCGCTGCCCCTGCATAGTTAGCATGGCTATCACTCCCTACATGGTTAGTATGGCTACCAGTGGGATTAGCTTCATAGTATAAAGGGGCGGGTTCAGGGTATCGGACCAATCACAGCTGTGAGGGCAGAAGAGAGATCTCAGTATTTCATGTGATGAACAATGACGTGGTAAACTGCGAAAAGTCAAACATGGTGGCATCATGAGAGATGCCAAACATGGTAGCAAATGAACAAATTACTCATCAGTCATTAAACACAGCTTGCATCCTAGTCACTGCACCACATGACCATCATGTCCTCCATGACGCCAACCCTCCGTTCCTCAAGGCTGCAGCCGAACCCAAACTGTCAGGGATTCAGGTGTGGTAAAACGCTGGACGCTTAGAGGTACAATAACCACATTCTGCTGTTTTGGTTCTATTGAGCACATCCAGAACCCGCCCCCCACCCAGACTAAGCCCACCAGCTTCTCCTGTGATGCTCGACACCATTTCTGTTTCATCTCTGTTCATCCAAGAACCGAAGTAGGAGCTGCTGGTTCCTCTGTGATTCTGGACCTTCCTGTTCTGACTCAAGTTTAAAACAGCTGACTGTTAAAACGATAACATTCATCTGTAATCTGGGATTATATTGTAACTCAAACATTTGGAGCTCCTTGGTTTAAATTCCCACTTTAATGTTAAAAAGAAACATTTTGACTAAATCCATCTTTTCTGTTCTTCGCCCTTTTGAAACGGTGAGAAAAATGCTCCCCTCTGACGTGCTGAGGAGTAGCGTAGCTTTGCTCCCAGCGGTTCCTCCTGTCAAATGGATCATACTGAGATTTCAAACAGAACCATCAGAATCTGTTTAGTTTCTTTATTTAAAGTCAAAATCAAGAAGAATGCAAAACCAGACATGAAAGCTCATAAACAATATAAAAATAGCTGAGATGTGTCCGAGCAGCAGGATGTGATGAAGAGGAACAAACCCGGCGCTGCATTTTACATGTTGTCTTCATCGGAGTCATCCTCCTCCTCTAGAGAATCCTGAAAGACAAAGCAGGTCAGAGTGAAGTCCAGCCTCAGGAACGTCCCCCATAGAGGATCAGATGATCCCGGTTTAATCTAACAAATGTTTCAGTTATCAGCGGGGATTAGGTTAGTTAAACTCGTCTCCAGTCTGAGCCCAGGATTAGAAACATGTTAAAGCTGAACTACGCTCTGAGCTGTGGACCTGATTCACCATCAGGAAGTATTTAAACAAATCAAGCAGGTCCAACACTGGAGGACACGTCATTCTGTTTAAAGACCAGGTGAGGATCAGGATAAAAGCTGAATCAGCTTCAATTAGGTACAGAAGATTTCCCATTTCAGACCTATTCACTTATCAGGTCCAATCAGGTTTACAACTCAGACCTTTGACCTATAAATATTAGTTTAAGGTAAAAAAATATATCTTTGGCTCAGGCTTTCAGCTGATGATTAATAAATGGGAATATAAAGACGTCTAAATGAAAGCGGAGGAAGAAACCTCAGGCTGATCGATCGATATTAGCGACTAAATTTCATCTATATTGTCTCACCTTTGCGTATTTCTCTGCTTCCTCCTTGATGTCTTTGGGAACCAACTCATGTCGTCCGTTTGTCACTGAGGAACAGAGAAAGCGGATCAGAGGCGTTACCATGGCAACAAGATGCCCGATGGGCAACAGACACTTCTATGAAGGTAAAGGCGAGAGATCAGCAGAAGCCGCCGCCCACGAACCCTCTGAGCTCCTGACGCCCATGAAGACGTTTTTCTGACGCGCAGATTCTTAATTAAATCAGCAAATCATATATGTATGTATAGTGTTTGTTGTATGTTATTTGTGTTTGTTTTTCATTTGAAATAGTCATGAACTGAAAGATATTGCGTGTTATTTTGATGAAAAAAAGCAACTCAAACATTTTAAAGGCTAATGCACAGATATGGCATAATTCATGCACACTTTGCATTAGGAAAATACAGCATTAATAGACTTGATGTAAAATTTTTAAATTATACGAAATTATAACAATGGAATGAATCCATGTATATTAAATGCACATCATCAATTTAGCACATTTGGCTCATCTGTATTATTCTGCTCCATTTACACATTAATGTTATTGTGATGGATTTGTATAATATGTTATATTACATAATTTATAGACTTCATAATGACTGTGCAATGTGATGGGCCTATTTTCTTTTTATAATAGGTTAAAGAAATCTACTGATGCTATGAAACAGCCAGTGTGTGACAAAGTGATGAATTTATCTTTATGTTAAAAGTCTTAAGTCCCCCTGAAAATGAGATCATCATCATTGTTAAATGCTGTAGCGCACGGATTATTTACATTGAGACCAGTGTAACTAGGGAGTACAAATATGGCGGCCGGTGGCTTCACTTTAACCCCGTACTACCAACGGCCAATCAGCAATCCAGGGACTAAATACAGATCAGTGATTGTTCTGCAGGTTTAGAAGGTCCGTTTCTAAAGGCACCAGAAGCGACAGCCTGTACCTTCTCCGACCCAGCTGAGCTCCAGCTCAAACGCTTTGTCCTTCACCTCATCGTGGACGATGTAGATTCTGTCAAAGGAAATGAGAAGCAGAAGAGAGCTGAACCAACCAGCTGAACCATGACAGCACTGACCCCGCCCTCCATGCTGAGGGCCTGATGGAGAGGATCCATCCGACTTTAATTCTCTTTGCTTTCAATGATTCATTACAAGAGAATAAAATGATTATTATTGTAAAAGATCAGGCTGAATTAGTTTCAATCTGAGGATGGAGGAAACATAAACACAGATGCTTCTGGTTCGGTCTGCCAACAGGTTCAGGGTTTTACTCACATTTTGGCGACTTCTTTGACCAGCTCTCTGCATGTCATGTCTTTCATCTGTTGGAGGATAAGAAGAGTTCAGAGATCAGCGCATGGAGTTAGCAGGTCACCTTCAGGGCTGGTCGGCTCCAGCCAGCCTCCCTCCCTCTGCCTTCATCCTGGGTCAGGCAGCCATGCTGATCCGAGCAGCTCTAACGCTTCTAAGCTAGCTGGTTCTGTGGAGCTCAGATAAAAAACAAAAGGGAAACATCTCACCTGCAGCTTCTCGATCTCTGTCTTAGCAGCTTGTTTGGCTTTTCCAATGGCACAACCCCAGTAACCCTGAACACACATGGAGGTTAGTCTGCTGCTTCCACCCTCCCACTCGCTCACCCACTCCCACTGAGACTCACGTGAGAGATGCCGGACGGGTCGACCATGTAGAGCTGCGGACCGTCGTCTTTGTCGTAGGAGCCCAGGATGAAACTGAGAGGTCAGACAGACGACAGCGCGTTAGGGAGAAGCATCAGCTGACGTGTCCGTCGGAGCCAACAGGGAAGGAACAGACCTCCCAATCTAACACATGCATTTCTACGTGCTGGGATCAAGTTCCTTCTGCTCCATGTGCAACAACCTGTAAATATCTACGGTGCTGCAGGAAAGCCGTTTTTACTCTTTACTCCAGATCCTTCAACGAGAGCTCAGATAAAGGGAGAGGTGGCTGGCTGCAGACCTGAACAGTGTGATCTCCTGCACTGTCAGGACTGCAAGATTATTCCAGATGTTTTAATCGAAGCATTCAGGAGTAGTTTGTATGAGCTGCCAGATTTCATTAGAAGATTTCTTTTTGCGAGTTGAGAGCTCACTTAGATCTGCCGTCTCACCACTTAAAGACCAAAATCATGTTTTCTTATAATTTTTGGGTGATTTTCTTTCACTTATTCCAACATGATCTGTCTCTTAGAGACGGATGTTTCTCCTGCTGGAGCTTCACCTAAAGTTAAACGCTGCATCATGCTGGGAAATCTGCTTTTTTTCCCCATAAATTAAATAAAATAGACATTTGAAAGTTTGTTTAATTTCCACTGTTTAAAATATTGGATTGATAAGAAGAATGAAGAGCATTAGTGATAAATCCCTAACGATATCGATGCCCTTATGTAGTCCGTAACGTCTAAGCAAATTAACTGGACGCCTGTTACTGCTTTAAGCTGTAAATGTGAGTCAGCTGTAATAAAATGAATACTGGCGTCTTCCATTCATTATAAAAACAAGCAGGATTAATTTTACAGCTATGTTCAGTTGGAGCTGATCGAAGCGCTGACCGTCTCCAGAAAGTTTGACCATCTGTGGTTTATCCCGCATCAGGGAGAGTTTAAGAGTCTCACTGATCACATCTAACGTGGTTTTAAAGCAAAGAATGAAGTGAAGCGGCGCCTCCGG